TATGAGAGGTCCGCTCCGATACCAAACTGTTGCATACCGTATAGGTGCAGACCAGAACAAGAACCGACCTTTCAATACAAAGTATAAGATAGCACAGCGGAAGACTTAGATACCAGTGATCCGAACAATCAATGTTGTAATGCAGCCCTTAACATACAATCAGGGCAGGGGCGGACGCCGGGTGCAGGCGCAGGGAGCCAAGGAGAGGTAGCGAGGCACAGCGTGGCCAAGACGAAGGAAGCAAGCGGCGGGCGCTGGCATAGTAGAGTAGCGGGCGCCAAGCGGCGTAGAGGGGGATGGACGAATCGGGATGGAATCCGGGGCCCGGTGCAGGCGGGGTATCAGGCAGGCAGCGGGCAACGGGTATTAGCGGGAGAGCGACGAGTACTAGCACAGCAGGGCGGAGCTGCGACGGGGGCTGAGGCAGGCTGAAAAGGGAAGCCGGGAAGCCGGGTGGATGAACCCGGACGGAGGGCCGCGCCGGGTGTGTGCAAAGACGGGGATGGCGGGAGGAGGAGCCGGGTGCAATGGAAAACGCGCTGCGCTCTCGATCCGGAGCGAAATCAAGAAGGGGAGGAAGCGATCCCGGGGTTCTCGCCCCGGGTGAATTGAATGAGAAGGTTAGATTTAGAAGATAGTCAATAGGAAAGGAGTTAGTAGAGAAAATAAGCTCCGCGAGCTATGGAGGAAGGAAAGAGTGGAAAGTGTTTGCATTCTCGTTACTTAACGGATTCTGGCGAGGTGAAGGCCGAATCCGCGTTTTGAAGGTAGGGCGACTTCATTGGGAAGCTTAGATTTGTGTGAAAGTTAGTGAATAGGGAGTTCGTTGAAAAGTTAGTATGTGGGCTATGGCGGGAGTCGATTATAGTGGGATGGAGAAACCGCGATTCCCCGCTCGATTCTCGACGGGATCGAGCGGAACGAGGGGGTAAATTGGGATCTTTGAGCATTGCGATCTTAGTGGCACCGTTAGTTTTGGAATTAGTAGAGTAGAGCTATGGCGGAGGTAAGGGAAGCAGAGGAGAAGGACGTGTTCTCGCTCATCTTTGAGCGGATTCGAATGAGGGAGGGCTCGTCCCAGAGGTTTTAGGCCGGGGATATGAGGACTAGATGGGGAGAACAGGGCGCGGTGGCGTCGGAGAGAGCGGCAATGAAGGGAAGAAAATCCGAATGAACCTAGACGCGGATTCGCGCTAGGTACATTCGAAAACAAACAAAAAGGAGAAAAAACGGGAAAGGTTGTATCCCGCTCGTTTCTTGATCAAAACGAGTGAGGAAAAACGGTAGGCGGGGTTTTTGGGGTGGCGCGAGTTGAATGGTGGCGTCAGATTTGGTGATGGGGTAATAGTTTGGCGCGAGAAGCAAAACGAGCTGCGAAGAAGCGTCGGGGAGGAGTGATGGAGGGACTAATAACGACGTACGTTGATCATCCCGTAGTCGTTTTGGGTAAAGCAAGACGTAAAGCGCTCCACCTATTCCTACGAAGTGAAGTAGAGTGAGGCCGATCGCAGGGGCTACAGGTATCGGCCAGGGAGCTGCTCATCCCACCAAGCGAACGGTTGCAGACAAAACAAAGGGCTGAACTTTGCCCTGTTGACCCATCCTACCGACCAACCATGAGTTTGGAAACTTGCCTACTGGGACTACAGGGTTATCTGTTGACTGCAGTGTTGCCTGTCCCATCTGTGTCATTGCGGAGAGTTGGCCACGCGAGTTAGAAGTTTGTCTGCAGGATAGTGTGCTGTGTGTGTGGGCCTTCAGCTGCTAATCCCAGTGTCTGCTCGCTACATATGTTGCCCGGTGGTTCGTCATGGTTGTTCCCCTTATGTTATCAGGAGTTACCCGACCAGCGGTACCCGCCATTGCAGTTCATTGGCTGGACGGGCATGTTAGAAAACAAGGAGTGAAAGGAACGAGAGGGGAGTGGGTGAGTAACACACTGAAGGAATAACCACTGGTCGATACACTGTTTGGTACAGGTTCTATCCTGCAAAAGTGGCCTGAGTCTAGCTGCGAGGCTACAGGCTGCTGGTCGACTGAAGTGGCGTCCACCTTACGAGTCTCCGCACGAAAGAAGGGGGCCGGTTGCAAGATGCTTGCAGGCTTACCCATGGCTAGAACGATTTGAGCCAGGGAGAGATAAGGGAGGGTTGAGCCTGTGTGAGGAGAGTCCTTGCTGTAAATTGGGAGGTCATCAGAGAGTCGATAGCCAGTGGTTTACCTTCAGTTGACCAAGCTACTTGTGTATTCTGGCCGCCATTGCGGGGCCCTCAGGCGACTGAAGGTATCAAGGCCCTCTCGCGCGAGTCTGAGAGCACCCTTCTTGGATCTGAGAGTCTCAAACTTATCTCCTTCTGCCTCTCTTACTCTAAGTCTAGTCTGTGGTTCTGAGCGGAAGGCAGCAGGTGGGATTGCAACCCGTAATCTGCGCCAAGGCCTCTGTGGGAGGTTCGCCCCGCCGATTGCGGGAGCTCTGCTGGAACTCAGGAGGAGTTCTGGAGGCAGGGAACTGAAAGGTAATTGTTGCTTTCCCTCTATAAACCCAGTTATAACCCCTATCTATACATCTTTCTATGTATCTGACTGAGTATATTGAGTGCACCCCTACTTTGACTTTCAGTTTGACTTTCAGGAAGTGAACCAGATTAAATAAAAGAATGTATGTGCAAGTCTCAGTTTCAGTTTTGTTGACTGCCTGAAGGCAGATTGTGAACAGAAGGGGAATTGCACGTGGGGGAAGGTTAGGATGAAGGAAGTTTATTGTATCTGAACGGGTCTTATAGGGTCAGGCATTGTTTCTAAGATGATGGCCTGACTGCTCTGTTTTATTTTTCGAATTGCATTGAGAATCAGACAAGTTCCATAAGATTGGATGGTCTGATTGCTCTGACTTGTGAGGGTTTGACCGTGGTTGACTTTCAGGAGTCAAGCCTGGTCTATAAGATCGGACGGCCTGGTTGCCGTGTTTAGTTGGGGTTTATTCTGTTTCTTTAGTTTCTGATCGAGGGGGTCTGAGCAAGTCCATAAGATTGGACGRCTCAGCCTCTTCTTGTCTCGTTCTAAGGGGGTAATTCTGGCTGAGGACAAAGCATGTCCATAAGATTGGACGACTTTTGACTCATGCCGCACACAGATGGATCAGAGAAACGAACCTGGCAGAGGACYAGATATGTTCCATAAGATTGGATGGCCTGGCCCAATGCCTCGCACATGCTGGAAACTGAAAGGTTATAACTTGGCTATCCTCTATTACTATTCTACCTATGAACAGGCTAGTCAGGCACGGGTTCCATAAGATTGGATGACCTGACTATAGCTTATCACAACTTGAAGAGAGTATAATTAAGAATATAACTGAGGGTAACTTTGGGCAGRCTKAGCTTTGTTTCTAAGATGAATGGCTCAGTCCTACGCCCAGCTTTTAAACACTAAGTTCAAAGAAGTATACAAACTTGGATATTAAACAGTTCARGGCGACTAAGCATTGTTTCTAAGATGAATGGCTTAGTCGTATGCCCAAAGGAAGAGAAAAGTAGTTGTGCAACCTGTTCGTGTATATTTGATGGYTGAGTCAAGCATGTTCCATAAGATTGGATGGCATGACCTTACGCCTTATGTAAGTTGGGTATAAGGGGTTAAATCATTGAAAGGTCATGAACTATTGTTTGTTCAGGTATACTTTGGGCTGGTGAGAGTACTTACCCTTGTGGTTTGGCCTGCATGTGACTGAGTGAGGCTACTACTTGGTCTGAGTTTCAGTTTGACAGGTAGTTGCTCTAGAGGCTCGCCACGTGCTAGAGCGATTGGAGTTAGTTCAATTCCTGCATTTTATGAGCTAAGTTTTTTTTCTTASATCAATTCTCGCATTTCCCGGGATCATTTGTTTTGTACTTGGCTTTGTATAAATCTTGACAAGCTACTTTCTCTACGGRAAGCGCTGCCGAAATTTCTACAAATCTAAGGAGTTAGTCAATTCTTGACTTTTCAAAGTTCAACTTGTCTAAAGTTCATATATGGCTTAGTAAAAATTTGGAAAGTCTCCTTTTCTAAAGGGAGYGCTGGCCAAATTTTTGCTAATTCAGGGAGTTAGACAAAATTGGACTTTRGAAAGTCAACGACTATTTCTGTTTTCATATGCGGGCTGATACAAATTTTGAAAAGGCACTTTTCCTACGGGAAGCGCTGCCGAAATTTTCTTAGTTTGAAGGAGATAGATTA